GGTCAGGTTTGGGTGAGTTTGGGTCAGGTTTGGGTCAGGTTTGGGTCAGGTTTGGGTGAGTTTGGGGTGGGTTTTGGGGTGAGTTTGGGTCAGGTTTGGGGTGAGTTTGGGTCAGGTTTAGGGGTGGGTTTGGAGGCAGATTTGGGGTGAGTTTGGGGTGGATTTGGATCAGGTTTGGGACAGATTTGGGGTGGGTTCTGAGTGGGTTTGGGGTTGATTTGGGGTGGATTTGGGTGGGTTTGGGGTGGATTTGGGTGGGTTTGGATCAGATTTGGGGCGGATTCTGGGTGAGTTTGGGGTTGATTTGGGCTGGATTTGGGGACACATCTGGGGTGGGTTTGGATCAGGTTTGGGGTGCATTTGGGGACAGATTTGGGGTGGGTTTGGGTCAGGTTTGGGGCAGATTCTGGGTGGGTTTGGGGTGGATTTGGGTCAGGTTTGGGGCAGATTCTGGGTGGGTTTGGGGTGGATTTGGGTCAGGTTTGGGGCAGATTCTGGGTGGGTTTGGGGTGGATTTGGGTCAGGTTTGGGGCAGATTCTGGGTGGGTTTGGGGTGGATTTGGGTCAGGTTTGGGGCAGATTCTGGGTGGGTTTGGGGTGGATTTGGGTCAGGTTTGGGGCAGATTCTGGGTGGGTTTGGGGTGGATTTGGGTCAGGTTTGGGGCAGATTCTGGGTGGGTTTGGGGTGGATTTGGGTCAGGTTTGGGGCAGATTCTGGGTGGGTTTGGGGTGGATTTGGGTCAGGTTTGGGGCAGATTCTGGGTGGGTTTGGGGTGGATTTGGGTCAGGTTTGGGGCAGATTCTGGGTGGGTTTGGGGTGGATTTGGGTCAGGTTTGGGGCAGATTCTGGGTGGGTTTGGGGTGGATTTGGGTCAGGTTTGGGGCAGATTCTGGGTGGGTTTGGGGTGGATTTGGGTCAGGTTTGGGGCAGATTCTGGGTGGGTTTGGGGTGGATTTGGGTCAGGTTTGGGGCAGATTCTGGGTGGGTTTGGGGTGGATTTGGGTCAGGTTTGGGGCAGATTCTGGGTGGGTTTGGGGTGGATTTGGGTCAGGTTTGGGGCAGATTCTGGGTGGGTTTGGGGTGGATTTGGGTCAGGTTTGGGGCAGATTCTGGGTGGGTTTGGGGTGGATTTGGGTCAGGTTTGGGGCAGATTCTGGGTGGGTTTGGGGTGGATTTGGGTCAGGTTTGGGGCAGATTCTGGGTGGGTTTGGGGTGGATTTGGGTCAGGTTTGGGGCAGATTCTGGGTGGGTTTGGGGTGGATTTGGGTCAGGTTTGGGGCAGATTCTGGGTGGGTTTGGGGTGGATTTGGGTCAGGTTTGGGGCAGATTCTGGGTGGGTTTGGGGTGGATTTGGGTCAGGTTTGGGGCAGATTCTGGGTGGGTTTGGGGTGGATTTGGGTCAGGTTTGGGGCAGATTCTGGGTGGGTTTGGGGTGGATTTGGGTCAGGTTTGGGGCAGATTCTGGGTGGGTTTGGGGTGGATTTGGGTCAGGTTTGGGGCAGATTCTGGGTGGGTTTGGGGTGGATTTGGGTCAGGTTTGGGGCAGATTCTGGGTGGGTTTGGGGTGGATTTGGGTCAGGTTTGGGGCAGATTCTGGGTGGGTTTGGGGTGGATTTGGGTCAGGTTTGGGGCAGATTCTGGGTGGGTTTGGGGTGGATTTGGGTCAGGTTTGGGGCAGATTCTGGGTGGGTTTGGGGTGGATTTGGGTCAGGTTTGGGGCAGATTCTGGGTGGGTTTGGGGTGGATTTGGGTCAGGTTTGGGGCAGATTCTGGGTGGGTTTGGGGTGGATTTGGGTCAGGTTTGGGGCAGATTCTGGGTGGGTTTGGGGTGGATTTGGGTCAGGTTTGGGGCAGATTCTGGGTGGGTTTGGGGTGGATTTGGGTCAGGTTTGGGGCAGATTCTGGGTGGGTTTGGGGTGGATTTGGGTCAGGTTTGGGGCAGATTCTGGGTGGGTTTGGGGTGGATTTGGGTCAGGTTTGGGGCAGATTCTGGGTGGGTTTGGGGTGGATTTGGGTCAGGTTTGGGGCAGATTCTGGGTGGGTTTGGGGTGGATTTGGGTCAGGTTTGGGGCAGATTCTGGGTGGGTTTGGGGTGGATTTGGGTCAGGTTTGGGGCAGATTCTGGGTGGGTTTGGGGTGGATTTGGGTCAGGTTTGGGGCAGATTCTGGGTGGGTTTGGGGTGGATTTGGGTCAGGTTTGGGGCAGATTCTGGGTGGGTTTGGGGTGGATTTGGGTCAGGTTTGGGGTGGATTCTGGGCGAGTTTGGGGTGGGTTTGGGTGGGTTTGGGGGCAGATTTGGGTGGGATTTGGGTGGGTTTGGGTCAGGTTTGGGGGTGGATTCTGGGTGAGTTTGGGGTAGATTTGGGTGGGTTTGGGGTTGATTTGGGGCGTGTTTGGGGTGTATCTGCGTGTGTTTGGATGCGATTTGGAGCTGACACCGTCCCCCACCCCACAGGGTCAATGATTCGGGGGGATGGAGCCCGAGGCGGGGGGTGACGCCCCCAGGACCCCCAGCGTCCCCTGGCGCAGCTACAAACTGGTGCTGGACCCCGCCCTGCGGCGGGGAGGGCAGAAGCTCTACAGATACGATGGAGTGCACTTCAGCGTGCCTGTGAGTCACCCCAAAAACGCCCCAAATCACCCCAAAACCGCAGCTAAAACTGGCCAAAACATCACCCAAAATCACCCCAGAATCACAGCCAAAACTGGGCTGAAATCACCCCAAAATCACCCTAAATCACCCCAAAATCACAGCCAAAACTGGGCTGAAATCACCCCAAAATCACCCCAAATGACCCCAAAATCACAGCCCAAACTGGCCAAAATGTCACCTAAAACTGCCCCAAATCACCCCAAAATCAGCGCCAAAACTGGGCTGAAATCACCCCAAAATCACCCTAAATCACCCCAAAATTACAGCCAAAACTGGTAAAAATCTGCCCCAAAATCACCCTAAAATCATAGTTAAAACTGGGCTGAAATCACCCCGAAATCACCCTAAATCACCCCAAAATCACAGCCCAAACTGGCCAAAATATCACCAAAACCTGTCCCAAATCACCCCAAAATCACCCCAAAATCATTCCTAAATCACAGCCAGAAGTGGCCAAAATATCACCCAAAATCACCCCGAAATCAGGGGCAAAACTGGCCAGAATCACCCCAGAATCACCCCCAAATCACCCCAAAATCACCCCAAAATCACCCCAAAATCACCCCAAAAACACCCCAAAATCACCCCAAAATCACCCCAAAATCACCCCAAAATCACCCCAAAAACACCCCAAAATCACCCCAAAATCACCCAAAATCACAGCCAAAATTGGCCCAAATCTCCCCAAAATCACCCGGAAATCACCCCGAAATCACACCCAAAGTGGCCAAAGTATCACCTAAAACTGCCCAAAATCACCCCAAAATCACCCCAAAATCACAGCCCAAACTGGGCTGAAATCACCCCAAAATCACCCCAAAATCCCCCCCAAAATCACCCCAAAATCACACCCAAAAACACCCCAAATCACCCCAAAATCCCCCCCAAAATCACCCCAAAATTACACCCAAAACACCCCAAAATCACCCCAAAATCACAGCCCAAACTGCCCCGTTTTGGGTCGGTTTTGGGGTGTTTTTGGGGTGTTTTTGGGGTGTTTTTGGGGTGTTTTGGGGTGTTTTGGGGTGTTTTTGGGGTATTGGGGGTGTTCCGGTGTATTTGGGGTGATTTTGGGGTGACCGACAGCATTTTTGGGGTGTTTTTGGGGTGTTCTGGTGTATTTGGGGTGTTTTTGGGGTGTTTCAGTGTATTTGGGGTGTTTTTGGGGTGCCTCACGGCATTTTTGGGGTGTTTTGGGGCAGTTTTGGGGTATGTGGGGTGTTTTTGGGGTGACTGACAGCATTTTTGAGGTGTTTTTGGGCAGTTTTGGGGTGTTTTTGGGGTGTTTTTGGGGTGTTTCGGTGTATTTGGGGTGTTTTTGGGGTGTTCTGGTGTATTTGGGGTGTTTTTGGGGTGTTTCGGTGTATTTGGGGTGTTTTTGGGGTGTTCTGGTGTATTTGGGGTGTTTTTGGGGTGTTTCGGTGTATTTGGGGTGTTTTTGGGGTGTTCTGGTGTATTTGGGGTGTTTTTGGGGTGTTTCGGTGTATTTGGGGTGTTTTTGGGGTGTATTTGGGCTGGTTTTGGGGTGGTTTGAGGTGTTTTGAGGTGGTTTTGGGGTGTATTTGGGGTGGTTTTGGGGTGTTTTGAGGTGGTTTTGGGGTGGTTTTGGGGTGTTTCGGTGTATTTGGGCTGTTTTGGGGTGTTTTTGGGGTGTTTTGAGGTGTTTTGGGGGTGTATTTGGGGTGTTTTGGGGGTGTTTTGGTGTATTTGGGCTGGTTTTGGGGTGACTGACGGCATTTTTGGGGTGTTTTGTGGTGTTTTGGGGGTGTTTTGAGGTGGTTTTGAGGTGGTTTTGGGGTGTATTTGGGGTGTTTTTGGGGTGTATTTGGGCTGTTTTTGGGGTGTTTCAGTGTATTTGGGCTGTCTTGGGGTGTTTTTGGGGTGTTTTGAGGTGTTTTTGGGGTGTTTTTGGGGTGTTTCTGGGGTGTTTTTGGGGTGTTTCGGTGTATTTGGGCTGTTTTGGGGTGATTTTGGGGTGTTTTGGGGGTGTTTTGGGGTGGTTTTGGGGTGTTCTGGTGTATTTGGGTTGTTTTGGGGGGTTTTTGGGGTGTTTTGGGGTGTTTTTGGGGTGTTTCTGGGGTGTTTCTGGGGTGTTCCGGTGTATTTGGGCTGTTTTGGGGTGACTGACGGCGTTTTTGGGGCGCAGGATTCGGGGTTCCCCCCGGCCGGGCCGGTGCAGGACCCGCGACCCCGAAGGATTTGGGCCAAACACCGCGAGCTGTCCCTGCCTGTTCCCAAATTCAAGGTGAGGTTCGGGAATTCGGGATTTGGGAGTTCGGGATTTGGGTTTGGGAATTCGGGATTTGGGATTTGGGGTTTGGGGTTTGGGAATTTGGGAATTCAGGATTTGGGAATTCGGGATTTGGGAATTTGGGAATTTGGGAATTTGGGGTTTGGGGTTCCAAACACCGCGAGCTGTCTCTGCCTGTTCCCAAATTCAAGGTGAGGTTCGGGAATTCGGGATTCGGGAATTCGGGGTTCGGGATTGGGAATTCGGGAATTCGGGATTTGGGATTTGGGAATTCGGGCATTGGGGTTTGGGGTTTGGAATTTGGGATTTGGGGTTTGGGAATTTGGGATCCAGGATTTGGGATTTGGGATTCGGGATTCGGGATTCGGGAATTTGGGATTTGGGATTTGAGGAATTCAGGATTTGGGATTTGGGATTTGGGATTTGGGGTTTGGGATTTGGGATCCAGGATTGGGATTTGGGGTTTGGGATTTGGGGTTTGGGATTTGGGATCCAGGATTGGGATTTGGGGTTTGGGATTTGGGGTTTGGGATTTGGGGTTTGGGATTTGGGATTTGGGATTTGAGGAATTCAGGATTTGGGATCCAGGATTGGGATTTGGGGTTTGGGAATTTGGGATTGGGAATTTGGGGATTTCAGGATTTGGGATTTGGGATTTGGGATTTGAGATTTGGGATTGGGGTTTGGGATCCAGGATTTGGGATTTGGGATTTGGAATTTGGGATTTGGAATTTGGGATTCGGGATTTGAGGAATTCAGGATTTGGGATTTGGGATTTGGGATCCAGGTTTGGATCCAGGATTGGGATTTGTGTCTGGATTTGGGATTTTGGCCCCATTTCACTGACGGAATTTGGGATTTTTTTGGGAATTTTGTATTCTTTTGGGGGAATTCTGTATTTTTTCGGGAACGTTTTTCGGGAATTCCGGATTTTTTGGGAATTTTCTGGGAATTTTGGGGTTGCAGCTGGACGAGTTCTACGTGGGCCAGGTGCCCCTGAAGGAAGAGCGGGGATGGGATTGGGGTTTGGGATTTGGGATTTGGGATTTGGGATTTGGGATTTGGGGTTTGGGGTTTGGGATTTGGGATTTGGGAATTCGGGGTTTCGGATTTGGGATTTGGGGTTTGGGGTTTGGGATTTTGGGATTTGGGGTTTGGGGTTTGGGATTTGGGATTTGGGATTTGGGGTTTGGGGTTTGGGAATTTGGGGTTTGGGATTTGGGAATTTGGGATTGGGAATTTGGGGATTTCAGGATTTGGGATTTGGGATTTGGGATTTGGGATTTGGGATTGGGGTTTGGGATCCAGGATTTGGGATTTGGGATTGGGATTTGAGGTTTGGGTATTTGGGATTTGAGGAATTCAGGATTTGGGATTCGGGATTTGGGATTTGGAATTTGGGATTGGGAATTTGGGATTCGGGATTTGGGGAATTCAGGATTTGGGATTTGGGATTTGGGATCCAGGTTTGGGATCCAGGATTGGGATTTGGGGATGGATTTGGGATTTTGGCCCCATTTCACTGACGGAATTTGGGATTTTTTTGGGAATTTTGTATTCTTTTGGGGGGAATTCTGTATTTTTTCGGGAACGTTTTTCGGGAATTCCGGATTTTTTGGGAATTTTCTGGGAATTTTGGGCTTGCAGCTGGACGAGTTCTACGTGGGCCAGGTGCCCCTGAAGGAAGTGACCTTCGCCCGCCTCAACGACAACATCCGCGAGGGTTTCCTGCGCGAGATGTGCCGCAAGTTCGGCGAGGTGGAGGAGGTCGAGGTGTTGCTACACCCCAAGACCCGCAAACACCTGGGGCTGGCCCGCGTCACCTTCGGCAGCTCCCGCGGCGCCCGCGACACCGTCAGGCACCTGCACAACGCCACCGTGATGGGAACAGCCATCCACGCACAGCTCGACGTCAGGGGTCGGTCTGGGGGTGGTTTGGGGGTGTTTTTGGGGTGGGTTTTGGGGTGTTTCAGGGGGTTTTGGGGTGTTTGGGGTCGGTTTTGGGGTGTTTGGCACCGTCAGGCGCCTGCACAACGCCACCGTGATGGGAACAGCCGTCCACGCACAGCTCGACGTCAGGGGTCAGTCTGGGGGTGGTTTGGGGTGTTTGGAGTCAGTTCTGGTTGTTTTGGGGTGTTTCAGGCTGTTTTTGGGGTGTTTGGGGTCAGTTTTGGGGTGTTTGGGGTCGGTTTTGGGGTGTTTGGGGTGTTTTTGTGGTGTTTGGCACCATCAGGCGCCTGCACAACGCGACGGTGATGGGAACAGCCGTCCACACACAGCTCGACGTCAGGGGTCGGTCTGGGGGTGGTTTGGGGTTGTTTTTAGGGTGTTTTCGGTTGTTTTTGGGGTGATTTCAGGTGTTTGAGGTTGTTTTTGGAGTGTTTCAGGTGTTTTTGGGGTGTTTGGGGTCGGTTTTCGGGGTGTTTGGCACCGTCAGGCACCTGCACAACGCGACGGTGATGGGAACAGCCGTCCGCGCACAGCTCGACGTCAGGGGTCGGTCTGGGGGTGGTTTGGGGGTGGTTTTGGGGTGTTTCTGGCTGTTTTTAGGGTGTTTTTGGTTGTTTTTGGGGTGTTTGGGGTGTTTGGGGGTTGTTTTTAGGGTGTTTCAGGTGGTTTTGGGGTGTTTGGGGTGTTTTTGGGGTGTTTCAGGCTGTTTTTGGGGTGTTTGGGGTCGGTTTTGGGGTGTTTGGCACCGTCAGGCGCCTGCACAACACGACAGTGATGGGAACAGCCGTCCACGCACAGCTCGACGTCAGGGGTCAGCCTGGGGGTGGTTTCGGGGTGGTTTTGGGGTGTTTCAGGGGGTTTTGGTTGTTTTTGGGGTCAGTTTTGGGGTGTTTCAGGGGGTTTTGAGGTCTTTGGGGTCAGTTTTGGGGT